AGAATTGTAAACATTTTTGTAATATTTTTTTGGATTTCCAAAAAAATATCACTTGTGCCAAAACCGAGAAACGAGAAATTTCAACTTTTGTAACAGACCACCCATAAGTCTTTACCTTCAGCGCTCAATACAAAAAAGAGGTGTGATTGTAATCTTTTTAAGGTAAAGGGTCAAATACCACGTCTGTATGATGGGATAACAACTTATGACGTAATGATGATGATTAAAAAAGTGTGTCAATAATCCAGTCCTGGCGCACTATGATGAAATACTTTCCCAGTTTATGTCATGATTTTGTGCGTGTGAATAACGTAAACTTTCATTCCGTAACAATTAACAGACGATAATGTTATTTCGAAGTGAAATAAAATAAATTGGACCGCATTTTGTAAGTTCACATCATAATATTAAATATGATATGAAAAAATAATATTTAGATAGATAGATAGTAATATTTAAATTCAACGTCATCACACTCACAGTCTACCACCAGTTCACTGCTGAACGCAGGCCTCTTCCTAAGATTGACACAAAGCACGATCCTAAGCCACCTGAATCCATCGACTTCCTGCATCGCTTAGTAGGTGGCCACCCTACACTTCACTTACTGGTATGAGGTTGCCACTCGAGAACCTTTCTTCTTCATCGGTTGTCGGTTCTTCAAGCTATATGGTTGGTCCGTTGCCAGTTCAGCTTATTGATCTGTTGGTCTATGCAGGTTACGTTAGTTCATCTGCGGATATTCTAATCCCGTAGCTCACTGAGCGATCTTGTGCGTCCTCATACGGCCAGCAGTGAAGGATCACGTCTTAGATCTATATGTCATCACTAGCAACGCGCACTGGTTGCAAACTCTTGTTTTCAAGTTTTGATGTATATGTGACGAGATGTGACGTAATCTCCCGAATGCTGCCCAGTCGAGTTGTATCCGTCGATTGACGTCGGTCTGTAGTTCTTTAATGAAAAATGAGTATAAACATCTAGGTCATATTATCATAAAATCGTATCAGCATTGTTTCATTTATATATTTTTTCACTGGTTGTGCCTGCGACCACGTTCGTGTGATATTAGTTCTTTTGTTTTGTTTGATATAGATCATGATTTATTTGTACTTTTTAATGATGCCATGATCTAGAAAAACAGTAATCTTGATCAAAACAGTTAGTTAGTCAGTCAATCATAAAAACTAACGAACGAACAAATATACGGGTCCACAGACGAATCAACGGACGGAACCACAAACGAACCATGAAAATAATTGGGCAAACAATATGCTTGTGTCTCATATTGTAAATAAATAACAAAATGACCGCAAGAACGTAATCCACAATTTGCTCCCTAATTTCTGTAGCCAACATTCGGTTCCCACACAACAGATGAGAGATTGCCTAAAAACCAATTAGACAATCTCACCAATCCAATCACCAAACCAATCGCACGATTCACCGTAATGCCATTAATATTAAAAATATTTGAAATGGAAATCGTGTTAAGCTATCAAAATTAAACTTACATAAAAATTTCGTGACCCTGCTACTACCCGTTGAAGAGTTCCCTAGTAAGGAGACAATTCAGGCTGCAGCACCAGTAAAAAATACCATCATCAAATATTTACTTACCTATTGTACTCCTGTGCATAGATAAAGTATGATATATTTTTATTTTTTCTAGTATTTAATTAATTCTATAAACCTTTTAATATAACTTATGGTATTTTACCCTTTCAATTCAGCGCCATCTAGTTGCGAATTGCAATAATACTAACCTATACACAATGATAAATAGACTTATATGATATAATGATAAATAATACTTAACATAATTTCGTTTTACGAATATCCCCATCCATTCATCGATTACAGGCTTATACTATTGAAGAACTATCAATAATCTAAGATTATAGCCGAAGGCCTAAAGTCCACTGGTGAACATAGGACTTCTGCTTAAATTACCTCACAGAGGGGATTTTGCCACAGTTGCCACGCCTGGAAAGCGAATTTTATATATTGCCATTTACCGACAGGTACTAGATATACTAAACCTCGTCATCATCATCATCATCAGTACACTTATAGCCCTCCACAATTCAACATAGACCTCCATTATGGAATGCCACAAAGCACGGTCCTTACAAGGTTATTGTTGTGTACGCGCTTGTTACACGCTTTGAGTTATATGGCTGGCCTATTTCTACCTCTACTTATTAATTAATTGTGCTATGTCGGTTACTCTGGTTCTGCTGTGGATATCCTCAATAATCATCTATCACGCATAGAAACCTCGAGTATCACTTTCTTCATAGCTCACTAAGCGACCTTGAACGTCCTCATACGGCCAGCAGTGAAGGAACACGTCTCAGATCCATAAGTCATCACTGGTAACACGCACTGGTTGTAGATTCTCGTTTTCAGGTTTCGAGGTATACCAGACGAGATGTGTCGTAATCGAACGCTGCCCAGCCGAGTTAAATCCGTCGATTGACCTCTCGGTCGAAGTTGGACTTACTTTGTCGAACTATTTGTCCCAGGTAAACGTACTAGTCAACAACTTCGAGCTTAGTGCTCCCAACAACTACCGGCATACGTGTGACATGGACATGAAACGTGATCTTTGTTTTGTCCATGTTCATCTTAAGACCTATCCATTGGGAAACACTATTGAGGTCTCATTAAGCATAGTGCTTAGGTCCTCCAGCGATTCTGCGATAGAGAATATATGATGTATTCGACATTGATGTTAATACCATATTGTTTCCAGTCCAGTGGTTTGAAAACGTCTTCCAATGCAGCGGTGCAGAGTTGCGGGGATATAACGTCACCTCGTCTTACGCCTCTCTACATTTGGATAGGTTTCGTACTCTGGTTCTGTACTACAGCCATCGTAGCCCTACTGTACAAATACTTCAGCACTTCGATATACTGACAGTCAACTTGGCACCGCTAAAGGTACTGTAGCACCGCCCAAATTTCGACGGAATCAATAGCTTTCTCATAATCCACATACGCAAGGCAAAGTGGTGGATTGTACTCTTCGGTCTTCTATACAATCTGTCGCATTGGGTATGTAGTCTATGGTACTGAAATCTTTTCGGAAACCGGCTTGTTCAGGAGGTTGGAAGTCGTCGAGTCTGCGTGCGAGATGATTCGTAATGACTCTCGAAAACAGCACGTAAACGCGGCTCAGAAGGGAAATCGGTTTGTAGTTGTTCAAGGGAGTATTACCGCCTTTCTTGAATAAAACCACCGCAATTCTGCTCCACGTCTCCGGAGTAGTTCCACCATGGAGGACGGATTTAAAGAGGTTCTGAAGGACTTTAAGTACCGGTTTTCCACCCGCTTTCAGAAGCGCCGCTGTAATTCCATCCTCGCCTGGGGCCTTACTGTTTTTAAGAGAGCCGTTCAATCTTGCTCAGATTGAGGTCCGGGATATCATCAGAATAGTGTCGGATAAGACTTGCTCTTAGATTGTTACTCACACTTGCGTGTGGCTCCAACGATGATGTGTACAGCTGTCCATAGAACAGACACATGTACAGTACAACAGATACAGGTATCCTGGAAACGATGCTGCCACACCAGGTCTTCAGCTTTAATAGTTGTCTCTTTTTAGCAGACAGATCTCTGGCAAAGACTTTACAGCTCCGGTTCAGTTCGATCGCATCCTCAATACGAGCAGTATTTAAGTTGCGTTAGTCCCGTCATATGCATTTGGAGATCTGTCTGTTCAGATGCCTCTATATATAGTCAAATCTGTTGAGAACTGCAGCTTCATTTCTCGTATTACAATCATGAGTTAATAAACCTACGACTAACTAAATTCTTTTTCTCACATATAAAGATTAAAGTATGACCAATATAAATGAAATTTCACAAACGCTTTTTATTTATAAACGAAATAAAAAAATATTTCTGTTATAAAAAATTGTCTCATTTCAAGAACTTCCTAAAAAAAAGTATTAATCACTTGCTCTTTATTACTGAATCCAGAATTTAAAAATTAAGTAAAGCGCGTTCCACGAGAGAATTCCCTTCGCCGTAATGCACGGAAACCAGCTATATTTTGAGTAATGGAATTACTTTATATTAGGGAGATTTGCCTACTATATTATTTTTACAAATTAACTATCAATTTCGATTTCTACTTTTAGAACTGAGTAGAAATTATTTTTCAATAAAGTATGCTGCTACACAGGAATTCTGGTAATAATTAATAGTTTTTGTGATACAAGGAAAGAGCCTCTTTAAAGGACGAAACCAGAGTTTGTCGAGCGCACGCTGAGTAGTCATTATTAATACCACCTTTGTTAACTCGTCAACGGTGGGTCATATAGGTATGCCTATATATTATGTTACATTACTTTTTAATTAAATGGGAATATTACACTCTTTTTGATTTTTAAAATGTTTTAAACACATTCTAAACACGACGCATTTACTGTAAAGATATTTAAAAAATATATCTATATAATTAAGATAATACATATACCTATGATATATTTCGTCTATGAGAATAATAATAAATATTAAAATGCCTTTGGTGCCATCTAAATAGTAGTAATGATGTAACCATTCAATTACTTAAATAAAAATTATTATGATATGTAGAAACTAACGGATAGGAAAAATATAAGAACAACTCAAATCGGACATTATAATTTTTAAATCCCACGACAATATAAATAAAACTTTTTGTATCTGCAAAAGCGAACATTATGTGTACTGCGCAGCTTCTATGATAGAAGGGGTGATAATATATATTTATACTAACGTTATAACCCTTACGTAACACTTGAGTGAAAGTCCGATCAAATCCGTTCACAGACATCGTTTCCAAAAAGTTTTGTTTAGGCATATGTATCGATAACATAGTGTATCTCAATTCAAATTTCAAAAAAAAAAAATTCAATAAACAGGAATCGTTCTGTTAGAGTTTTAATATAGTATAGATAATGAATTTTTTTACTTCGTTAAATATGCAAGTGTAAAATTTATAATTTCAGGGTATATCAACGCATGAAGTATTGCATCGCTGGTCGACACCGAAAAGACGACAAACCCGCAAGCCATTACGACTACGTGAAGATCCTCAATTGATCTTTGCAGAACAATTACGACGTGCCGTTGATAACAATATACGATACAAGCAGATTAAAGATCAGCAGAAAATATATAAAGACGTTTTAGGTACTCTCATTAAGTGAACATCATATGAAAAAGTGATGAAAACGAAAGTGAAATATAATATTTCACTTCTGAGTCCTTTCAATTTTAAGTTCAATTCAAACTTCTCTTGCAGCTTCAAATTATGAAGTAATCAAAAAAGAAATGGAAAATTTAACAAACCCCAATTTTTAATCATCAGAAAACTGAGGATTAAAAATTGGGGTTTGCTAAACCTCTATTCTAAAAAGAATCTAAAAAGATCCCGATGGAAATGAGATAGGGTTTTCGTGTGTTTTCATAGTATGAGAATCTTTGACCATTAAGTCTAATCTTCTCTACAATCGCAAAGGTTTCTCTCGAGCAGTAGTCTTTCACATGCTTAAAAAAAAGAAATAGGGGTGGCGTAGGCGCTTAAACTATAAGCATTTAATTAAGCAGAGTTTTAAGTAAAAGCGTATTACCACCTTCAAAATTATTTATAAGATTATTTTGTAGTTCACGAACATTCTAATTTAAAGTAACGTGAATGACGCCATCTATGAGTCCGCTAAGTTAAGAATACAAATGTTACGATAATGTTATATTGCAAGCGACTTAAATCACTCTAGTACGACATAATTCAAAAGTAAACATTTTTTCAACGCTTAGAATTGTCGACGTATGTGGTGTAAAATGTTTTGTTCATAGTTTAAGTGTTAGAAAAGTCAGGGTATTTTAAGCTAAAAGCTTACTTAGTTTAAGCACGTTTTAAACGCTGTAAGTTTTAAGCAGTTATTCTCGCTTCTACTTACAAATCTACATATCAGCTATTGTGGTCAATGATTTTAGAAGAGTAGAAAAATATCTCAATTACTTCCTGCATAACAACACAATGAAGATGACATATCGGCAATTATATTTAGGAACAATTTAATTGACAAGTCTAATATTTTCAGATGATATGGTTGTTAAAAAGAAGAAAGCTATTAAAGATGAAATGAAACAGAATTTGGAGTATGAGCATAAAATGGTAATTTAACTCTGACATATTATTTTACTACCATTATGGATTTACAATTTTCAGTTTATTTTAGCACACTATGGACGGTCCTTGGGGCAAACCTGGACCCGGAGGTGCAATTTGGAGAAATCCCCGAAGTATAGGATTAAATTTCTCAAAGTCTATGGTACGTCATGTACTTTTTGGCGTATTTTTGGTGTTTGATTTTATTTAATGTAATTTTCTAATGTAATACAATTAGGGGTTACTTTGCGGAAATCCATTACTTATATTGAAGTTGCTGGAACTTGATTTTCTTATTTCCGCTTAGCAAAAAAAATGTGTCCTGCCCAATTTGAAGAGCACCCTCCACACTCACTTGCGTGCACTATCCCCGTCACAACCAATCCTAGCACCGCCACTCCCAACATCACCAAACGAGGAACAACACACCACCCTCGATAATACGTCGTATGTTTCGCCACTACCCGAGGCTTCCTAAGGTGAGGTAGACTTTGCGGAGACTCATTACTTTCTCTCTTAGCGGTCACGTCATTTTATTACACTACGCGGAAATAATCAAATTAAGTTTCAACGACTTCAATGTAAGTTATTCATTAACTGAATTGAAGTTAACTTCAATGTTTATAATATTTTATTGTTAAAGTTCTAGAATTGCTTTTAGGGATGGACAAACAATGAAATTTTTAATAAACTGAAAGGGGAACACTGTAACTACATGAGATCTTCGCTTACTTTACCAAAAGTAAAGAGAGATGATGATTTAATAGATCAAAGTTTATTCGATAAGGAAAATACTAAATCATCAAGTGTTGAAAAGTTGCCCGAAATCACGAAACAGATAAGTCCAAATATCAGTGGCAGAGACAAAGTAAAAATATCTGAAGGTGATCATGCATTAAGGAAATCAAACGACACCAATGTGAAAAACGGCAAATCAAAAAAGAGTCCCAGAAAAACTCAATTTGTTAAACGTTTGTGTAATGGAGAGCGAGTAACGAAAATAAAAATAGACGATCAAGGTATCAATACGAGTTCTAACAATATAATAGATACGAAGCCAACCCCGGAGGGTACAATACTCAGATTGACCGGAGGCATAGAGCTTGTACCACTTTTAGCTCGACGCAGACGTATTGGCGCGTGCACTTTACATTCTAGTGATGTCACACGACCTCCAGAACAGTCTTGTCAGTACGTATTATATTATACATATTGGTAATCACTAAAGGCTAACAATGTCACAAAAGATCATCTTTTCTTTTCTCTACTTGCGTACATTAGGCTTTGTTGCAAATACGCGTTATGGTAAAAATAATAGTTTTTAGTCACGAAGTTTTCGCGTTTGACTTTTCTTAGCATGCCTTTATATTCACAATATTGTTTTTCAGACATTAACCACCGTCGATGTAGTTTTACAGTAGTGAATACTCATGCCAATTGAAATATTTTTATTAGTCTTTTGAAAGGAAATTTTTCTTTTTTTATGAGGACCAGTAAAATAAATCAAATTTAACAGTAATAAAAAAACTAATTAAGTTTAGAGACACCACTAAAAATATCAAACTGAAATTATCTGATGTATTTAAAAATTTACAGTAAAAGGCGTTCGTTATAAAATTTCTAATCACGTTTGTAACCTTGTGTAAATGGCGTTATCCTCGGGCGGCATCTTTAGGATCTTAATTTTGCCTGCCATTATTGATTACGTCCAAAGTGAATGTCCTAACGTTTCTAAAACAACAGCAATCAAACATTTCGTTATATTTTATATTCGAAAATAAAAATAATTATGCATTTTTTACTTTATCGACTAATACTTTTATATCTTCATAATATTAATTAAGGTGATAAGACATAATATTTTTATATCAATAAAAACTTAAAATTGTAAAATATTCATAAGATCCCGATCATACGATCCAAGGCCACAAACATATACATTTAATTTCTGGCTAGTCTGTCACTTTTGTTCATTTTAACAACATTTAAAACAGCGCCGATATCTTGGATAAGGCTAATATCCCATTATCGTAGCCTATCAATCTAAAACAATTTAAAAGTCAAACGTCATATTATCTCAAAAGCTTTTATTGTGAGTTGGGTCTTTTCTTAGAGTAATAATATACATATTTATGCTTGTACTTACTCTGAGGATCTTAGTTAGGCAACAATAATGTCAAATTATTAATTAGTAATATGAGTGTGATATCTCTGTTTCACAATAAAACGAAATACTTAAACCAAGAGTGTATAATCACTTCATTTTATAGTTATGGTTCTCGCTAAATGAATCCATTGTAATATATGAATAGAAAATATTGGTACGATATAATAAGGAATGTCAGTCAATTTCATATTGGTTCGGCTTTAAAAGAAATCACTCTTTTGTGTGGTCGTCAATACTGATTCGTTATTTACTTAATGCGAACAATACTAATATTGTATTCGAGCATGTGCTTACATGTGGATGTAAACAAGTTTGAAAACTTTTTGTGTGCGTCAAAACAATCTCGCAGTCCATGAATATCTAATAACTGTCATTAATCGTAGTGAAATAAAATTGCATCATTCGTAGCTTCTTGATGGCTAACCTTTGTAACAAGATCTATGTTTAAAAGCCCTTTGGGGATTGTTGATATGGATGAGAATTTTTTTTTATGTTTGGAACGGCAATGTCATTGTGTAAAATAGTCCTATCTTATATAATCGACGATTTAGAATAGTCCGTTTAATAATATTAAGCGTTGTTTGGTAAGAGTTGACACTTTATAAAAATATTCCGGTATCATCCTTATCATGATTTCATACCTACAAAAATTCATTGCTTAACGTAGGCCTTCCCAAAGATAAAACACAAAACACGGTCCTGAGGCACCTGCATCTATTGCCTTTTTTATGACTTACCGGGTCGTCAATCCATTTATTTAACTTTGAGGATGACTTCTTCTACCTATTTAATCATTATCATCATCATTACAGCCCTTCACAAGTCCACTGCTAAAAAAAGGCCTCACCCAAGGAATGCCACAAAGCACGGTTCTGAGCCATCTGCATCCATCGACTTCCTGCATGTATTACCAGGCCATCAATCCACCTAGTGGGGAAACGCCCTACATCTCGCCTGCCGGTACGATGCTGCCACTGAAAACCTTTCTTCCCAATCGACTGTCGGTACTTCGAGCTATATGGCTGGCCATTTCCATTTCAGTTTACTATTCCGTTGGACTATGTCAGTCACTCTTGTTCCACTGCGGATATCCACGTTCCTAAGTTTATCACGCGGAGAAACCTCGAGCATAGCCCTCTCCATAGCTAGCTGAGCGACTTTGATCTTCCTCATACGGCCAGCAGCGAAGGATGACATCACACATCCATAGGTTACCACTAGCAACTCGCACTGTTTGTTCAATGTTGTTTTGAGGTATATGCCTGACGAGAATATTTGTTGTAATCTCCCGAGCGCTGCCCAGCCTCTCGCCAGACCTCTCGGTTGAAGTTGGACCTAAGTTACCTATGTATACGGACTAAATGTCCCAGGTAAACATATTCGTCAACAACTTAATGCTCCGGACAACTACCGGATTATGTGTGACACGGATATTACACAAGACTTTTGTTTTGTCCGTGTTCATTTTAAGACCTATCCGTAGGGAGAGACTATTGAGGTCATTGGGCATATTGTTTAAGTCCTCTAGTGATTCTGCCATAAGCACTGTATCGTTAGCAAATCGAATGTGAGTGATGTACTCGCCATTGACGTTAATACCGTATTCTCTCCAGTCCAGTAGCTTGAAAGCGTCTTCCAACGCAGCGGTGAAGAGTTTTGGGGATAAAACGTCACCCTGTCTTACATCTGTCTGCAGTTGAATACATTTCGTACTCTGGTTCTGTACTCGGATAGCCATCGTAGCCCTACTGTACAATCATTTCAGCACTTCGATATTCCGACAGTCAACTTGGCACCCCTGAAGCACCGCCCATATTTCGACGCAATCAAAGGCTTTCTCATAGTCCACATACGCAAGATAAGGTGGCAGATTGTACTCTTCGCACTTCTGTACAATTTGCCGAAGGGTATAATCACTTCACTTGTGGTCTATACCTAGCTAATGACGCCAGTCAATAATCAAGCCTTAACTTTGTAAGAATTTAAATTAATTTAATATATATTTTCGGGAATACTAGTGTAGAACAGTAGATTAGTTTCGTATAGCAAGTGAAGAGAACCGGAGACCCTTTTACTATCAAAGAGTAACTTCATCTTAACTCTCAGGCGTGATAACACATTTTGGTTCTTAATCGAGGAAAGATTTAATTGTCTATGACCCAGAGAATCCACTTACTAACGCGTGGGCCAGAGATTGTCACAAAGTACGGTTCTGTACCGCCTGCGTCCATCGACCTGTTTCATTAGGTCATCACTTAATCTAGTGAGGGGTCGCCGAACACTTCGTTTGCTACAACGAGGCTGCCGATTGAGAACTTTCCTTCTCCATCAGTTGTTCGTTCTTTGTTTTATTTGGTTGGTCTATTGCCACTTCAGCTTACGGAGCCTCTGGCCTATGTCAGTTATTGTTGTTGTTTTCGGGAATCACCAAGCATAGCCCGCTCTCGCGCGCTGAGTTAATGAACTTCCTTATGCGGTCGGCAAGCATTTTAACTTATTTCTCAGAAGTGACAACGCATCTGTAGTATTATTAATTTGAAATATGAACGTGGTAAAGCCAATCCGTTGCTACTCGTATGATATGGTTGTAGTACGAATACGTCGGCTCGAACGGTGTAGAATCACGCTCTTACAGAATACGAGTGTGAAATAACCCGGAGATTCTTTTAACTGGAAATGAGGCATTCCATATAAGTCGTCAGGGGTGAAAACACATCTGCCTTTTGATTCTTATTTGAGGATAAATGTAGATGTCTATGGGTCACAGTATTCACTCACCATCAGGTCGACTGTGTGCGTGTTTGTCAGCATTTGAAATAGTAAGCTGCAGGAGTCTATGAACTGCAGTAGCCACTTAGCGTGAGTAGGACTATAAGTTTGCCTGAAACTTTAGTTTTACGAAAATGTCTGTTACTGGACCTAAGCCTCTTCACAATAGGGAGAATTTGTCGTAACTGCCACGCTTGGCAGCCGTCTGGCCTCTTCGAGGCTGCGTCTCGTTGCCAGTCTAGGTACTTAACGTTTAGTATAAATACGAGATGGTTAAACTGCTATTTATGAGATTACAAGATATTTTGCACCTTTTCCTAAATTTCCTCTGACGACAGCTTCGAAATGAAATGCAGTTATGGTTTCTTTTGTAACATCACGACAACGATCACTGTCTACAGTAACAAAAAATAAATTGTTTCCTCACAACTATCTATCTATTATTTCATCATCTCATCAACCAGAATAATTTCTGGATACCTATCTCAGCTGTAACCTTACCAGAAGTCAACGATTAATGACAATTCGACAATTCACATGATTTTTTTGAAAGGACCTTGTAATTGAACGGAAAAAGTTTTTAAAAATAAGGATTTTAATATGTCTCTAGATGGCGCGATATGCTTGACGTGGATTATTTGAGACATTTAAAACATCAAATGCAAGTGAAATGTGAGCAGAAAGAGGTTAGAATTTTTTTCCATTATTTCTTACAAATACCTTAAAACAAAGGATTTAATTTATTTACATCAGACTGGATTTAATTGTTCTATTAGCATTACTATCTGTTTTTACCATATTAGTCCACCATATAAATAAAAATATATTTTAAGTAGTATATTTTTATTTATATGGTGGAGATGGTTTGAGTTGTGAGACCTACCTTTCTAAGTTAGATATGTATGCTAATACTAATTATTATTGACTTAATATTTAAAGGTTTTTTGACCAGATACCCTATTGAATTGGAGCACATTAATTTATAGCTAAATATTGTGTGACAATGTGAGGATTGTGAATGGCGCTTGATTTGGGGGAGATTTTATTAAACAATAAGTAGAAATAAGAAAAGCGTTTTTAAAATTAAGTTGCAATTTTCGTGAGACATGATAAAAGTTTTACACGTGGTAGTGCCATGCTGCAGTATAGTTGTAGTACGAATGGGTCGGCTCGACCGGGGAAGGACCGCGCTCTCATAGAATACCAGCGTAAAATAGTAGCTTAATGCTGCTGTACTTCGTATGGTGAGTGTAAAGAACCAGAGACCCTTTTTACTGGAAACAAGGCATTCGATCTTAGTCTTAACGGGTGACAACACATCTGCATTTTGATTTTTAATCGAGGATAGATGTAGATGTCTATGGGCCACAGCAACCACTTACCATCAGGTGGGCTGTGTGCTCGTTTGTAACCCTATACTATAAAAATAATTATTGCGAGTCATTGCTATTTGAAATATCATCAAAATACAGCATCTTTAATAATAATCATCAATTTCATTATAAGATATTAAAGTCCACCACTGAACAAAGGCCTCCCTATAGAATGCCTCATAAAGGTGATATTTTAGAGCAACATATGCAACTCTTAACGGGCGGGACCGGGTTGGCAGCGGCTGTTTTTATTATATCAGGAACATGGTGCTTTGAATGTTCTGTTCAAAATTCCCTCTATCACTTCTTACAACACCAACAGGATAATATATGGTAGTGGATTTACCTACGGTGTGTATTTCATGGCATCTTAACCAATGGTTAGCTATGATTTTTTTTAATTTGTTGTTAAAATACACCAAACAACAAACAACATATTATTTACCAATATTTTAATAGTATCTTATTGTTAATATTAAGGTTAAGTATAGCCTATTACACTTCGAACATAAAGATGTCTTTAATAACACCTCCTAGGAGGCCATAAATAAATAATCAAACATGCATATATCCAAACATAATGACCCTTTCTAAAATGTCGAATCTTAATTTTTTTATCTGGTTATGGGGAGCAGTATTACTAGTTTGAGAATTTGGAAACTGTATTGATGGACCCATAGCAAGTGTGGGCAACTTTTTCACAAATACTTTCTAATAGAGCATGCTTGAAAATGCATCCATTTTCATCCATTGGTAGATATACAACAACGAACGAATGGATTGTCATTAATTAATTATAGACCAACACATGTCCACAGCTGAAGGAACCACCTTAGGAGATAGTGATTAATAATATAGTATAATATGCGTGTGTATCTAGGGTATTCATTCTATGGAAAGTGGTACTATGGACAATGTATGGTAATTATAACAATTAAATTTTTCTTTAGAAAATATTCTAGAAATCTAAGGTACACCTGCGGGTTTGACAATACAGTTTTCAAAAATAGAGTAATTAGTAACATCCAACTTACAATAATAAAAAAAATCTATTTATTTTTTTAAATATTTTCTTTTCGTAGGAGAGCCGACTAGCCTCAGCTGAGAGTGAAAGAATGCATCACGCTACATGGTCGTCTCTATGGGGCCGGCCGGGACACGGGGCGCCACAGCTGCGTGGTCGTTATGCCAGGAATAACCTCGCGCAGTTATTATATTTTCCAGTTCTAACCAATACATAGTATAAAGGATAAGGAAGTAAAATAAACATGATAATACACTAAAAAAGCATGATTATACACTAAATAAACTTACATATTATTGTTATCACTGAATATTATACTAAACAAAGTTTAATATTTTAGCCGAAGTCACTCCATTACACATTTTTTCTCACGACACCTGATCGATTACGTCACTTACGAAATGTTCCTGCCATACCTGTTAAATTATAAAAGCTATACAAATGAATATAATCTTTCTGTTATGGTCCATTTTTTCATTCTATCTACTTGTGTAACAGCCACCTGTCTATTAACCGTCTGGTAGTTTTTAGGTTAAATTAGACTTATATTTGTATAATGTTAAAGGTTTTATCGAACGAAAGTCTAAAGTTGATATGACTATTTAATTACAGAGTTATTAAAAATTTGTTTTCGAAAAAATAAATGATATTAACAGAGATGTCAGTGTATTTGTTATTTAGTATCTAAGTAATTAAGAGCTTTGTATATTATTATTTAATTTTTATCCTAGTGTAATAATGGCGTCATTTAGATATTTTTAAATAATCATCAATAACCATTTATTTTATAAATTAATACGGATAAAAAAATATAGCCTAGATTATTCCTGGTATTGCTTTCTATCTGTTCGTAAAGTTCATTCTAACCGCTTCAGCAATTTCGAAGACTAGCCCGTATAGACAGACAGAGAAACGTTTTAAAAATGTTTATTCATGTCTTTGTGGCATGGAAATAACCTCTCGGCTCAGTGTCAAGCAGTTATTTTGATGTTACAAATAAACAGACACTGGATTATTATTATATAAGTTTGACTAACGCATATAGTAGAGATATTAATAATTAATTTGATAATAGCCGCGTAATAAAATAAAATACATATGTCTTGACGATTTGATGAGCACTAAGTCAGCCACCGCAGAGACTGCTTCACCTGATGCCTGTGTAGAGGTAAATCAATATTAAAGCAGATTTGGATGAAGCTAACTATAGCTACAGCAGTATAGCTATATCAGGAAGTAAAGTTTTACTTTATTAATACTATTAGTCCAATTTTTGACACAGACTTTATAATTCAAAAATTTGCTCAAAGCGCTACATTTCACAAGCATATTATTATCGATCGCAAAACGTAATACCAGCTCCACTCACCGGATCTTAGGCTCTGTTTCCTTTTCATCGGCCTAGCTAAATAAAGCTAAGGTCGCACAAATGTTGAGCCGATTATACGGCAGTAAGATGATTATATTCGTTTTGTATATTAAAAAAATGGGGTTATAATTTAAATTACAAACTACCTACTAATTCCAATCCAATAATCGCATACTTTGTAGATAATATATGTGTTATGGACCAAGTTATTTATTAGGGCACTATTTATAATCCCTGGGCAATATATATATATATATATATATATATATATATATATATATATATAATATAATCACAAGTCAAATGGAGCTACGTAATTGATACCGATTTGACCTTCACTATTTATCACATTGTCTGGGAGATGCTTTTTTCGTAGTGAGATCCTCATGGATATCCTTCCCTACGGTGGCAACGAGAAGGTTATGCCGCACACCTACCGGCTAAAATACCACGCTGGTCACTATCAGCCTCTACGAGGTCTTGGGATTTCCGTTCCGTTCGCAACCATAATGTCGAAATGACAAACTCAGCAGCCTCCTTTTGGATTACAACGAATTGATAAAAGGTGGCTAAGAAAAGTCTGCGATTGGACAGATACGGCAAAGAGGTTCTTTTTAGCGGTAAATGCGCAAACATGTGTCTTCTGAGGATTAAATTGGACTATATTTTCTTTACTGAGGACTACAAATACCTTGTTTCCAGTAAAATGAGTCTTTAATTCTCTACACTCACCATTCGAAACGCAGCACCCTTGAGCTGATATTTTGCGCTGGATTTCTGTGAGAGCGTAGTCTTTCCCCGGTTGAGTTGACCCATTCGTGCTACGACTATAATATAACTACAGCGTGGCTCTACCACGTGTAACAAGGCATATTATAGTAGGCTTAAGCTGTCCATTGTAATAATTGCTCCGTTATTTTCAAGTTATAAATTTTTGTTTAAGTGCAATGAATTAACAGAATTAAGAAATGTCCTCGGTCAGTATTTTTTATTAATAATGAACTGGTGGTGTGATCTAATTAAATATTTAAATTTAAATAAAACTTAATTTGATTATTCTTTCACCACAACTTATATTAGTTCATTAGCATATAACATTCTCTTTTACTTTTTATTAATAAGTAAGGTTCATCGGCATAATAAATGTTGATCATTATTTTTAAAATTGAAAGCCATGAATGCACATGGAATGTCACTCATATTCAAAAATGTTATTATTATTTACGATAAAGATTATTTCGAAACATCTCTATGCAGACAGACATGGTGTGTTGTTAATGGGTATTAAAATAAAAAATAGCCTTAGTGAGCTTATAAACTTTTCCTTGTCATGTTCACTATTGTGAAATTAAGATATAATATTTGAATTTTAATTTAAGCCTTTTCGTTATTGATGATAAACTCATTCGACGGATAATTCCCTATTCACCATAATCAATCGATCTGTAAAAACTTGCCACAACTTTTTTATATTCCCGAAGTTTCGAGCACTTTACGGCACCCGTGGTCACGGGGGGGGGGAGCGGGCTGATGTGTTTGACATCCCGATGTCATAGTTAACCGCGGTTACCCACTGTTAAAAATTATTAATTTTTGTTCCGATCTACATAATATGAACTTATAGTATCTTGAAGTCTTGCAGTTGTATGCTTGGGTTGGGATTTAATTTTAGTATAATTATAGGATCCCAAGCAGATGGTAGCACCCAGACATTATATGCATTAGCGAAGATTTGTAGTCTATCAAATCTGATGTAGTGACAGGGTGGATTCTATACGTGTTCTCAGACTGCAGACTTCCCGGAGCGTTGATTTCTCGCATCAGCTGATGTGAAAAACACCGCTTAAGAATACAAATTCCTTCCAAGGATGATTCGCGAGGCTATTAAAATCAAAAAACATCGTAATTTCAATAGAGAAGATGGTTGGCTGCAGCCATCTGCTTGGGACCCTATAATTAATAAAAATGGTAAATCCCAACCCAAGCATACAACTGCAATACTTCAAGATATACTATAAGTTCATACTGCGTAGATCGGAACAAAAATTAATAATTTTAATCGGTGGGTAACTGCGGTTAATTATGATAACGAGACGTCGAACACCTCAGTCCCCCCACCCCCCCGTGACCGTAGGTACTGTAAAATGCTCGAAATGTCGGGAATATAAAAAGCTAATTTACGCTATAAAATTCTTAAAAACTAGTTTTATTTATTTGATCGAGACACTTGCCTACTCTGCTATTCAATTCTGCTGGATAAATTTGCTGTTTTACTCGTCCCGTTCTTTCATTTCTGCACTCTTTTCTTAATCCTGTTCAAAACATGTTTTCACCCTACCATTTAGAGTTACACCTAAAGTTCTTAAGATGAACGCATGTATGAATGTTAAGCCACATATGCGTCCCTTATGACGAAATATTCAAACGCTACTCAAATTTGAGATGTACGTTAAGTCACGGGGTGTCGCAGTCACTTTGACTTAAAGTGATGGAGACAGTACGAGACTTAACGGCATCTTAAAATTGGGAAGTGTTTGAGTATTTGGGCACTATTGCCATATAAGCGAATTTTTTTATAGAAAATATTATGCTGATTAATATAAAACATTAACCCCATTTTTACGCAAAAAATAATAAATGACTTTCTTTTGCATTTAGAACAAATTTAAGTATTATTCAACAATAAAATATTATCTCTCAAAACTTTAATAAGAAAAAGAAAGAAACTTACGTTGTGTCCACTTCAGTAATTTTGTAAGTGACGTTGTAGTTCATGACACAGCTGAAAGCGTTTTCATTTAACGCGTGCAGCTGCAGATCTGTAGTACTCGTATATTGACCTTGAACCATCAAATTGTGATGCTTGCGCATCGTGTTCTTAAAGACCACGGTTCGATTTTTATTTACAGAAAAAAAACTTTTTCATACATGACATTTTTTGTATTTCCAACAGAGGTGTAGAATTATGAAGTTTTCTCAAAATTATTTTTTCTTCTCAAAATTCCACTTGAATCATTATATTTTTTAGACCGGGAAAATTACCTGTTTATATTATCCAAAAACAATATCCTTCCATTCACTAGAAAAAGCAACATTCTTTTACCTAATTCTTCTCAGACTTTTCTCTCACACAGCGTCCTACGATCTTTCAATAATTCTAGCGTAATACTCATCTGTTATGGAAATTCCTTTTTCTTTGTAATCAATGGAAAGGATTTCTTTTCATTATCAAAAAAACTGAGGCTATGAGTTTTCTGGACGATTGGGCTACCCAAAATTTCTTAGGAATGGGGTGCTTTTTTGTGGTGCTACATTGAGTGTTGTTCAGATTCAAGCCCAAAATGATGAAGCGAAATTTTATATCTAGTAACAATCCAACTTAAAACTTAACGCATGCTCTCGCTACGAAGGTCCAAAACTCACAGCAACACACTAAGCTTCGCTACTTTTGGTGTGGTGTGAAAATTCTAAGGGTGCTTAGAATGCTCACAGTGCACATAAAATGGCAAAGCCTAGAAACCTTGCAGTACATCTAGGACATATTTTTATAGGAGTTTGACAAACAGACATATAGTCTAACTGATGGTAAGTGAATCATAGAAATCTATGTTTTTAAAATAAAACCACAGATGATTTGTCACTTCTGAGGACTGTGATGGCCTCATCATAGCTTGGTTTAGGTTTTACGTTTTATTATTTTAATCTTTTGAGTGGTCTGGGGAACATCGGATTTTCAAGGTAACAACTATGATGTCATTTAAATAGGTACATTAAAATTTTCATTTCATATTTTTCTATCCTCAAGGTTTAGAATTTTTTTTATTTATTTGGAACTAACCCTAATGTTA